TGTGTGTGTGTGTGTGTGTGCATTACTACACTGAGAGTGGCAGGTGCAAAGTTCAGCTCTCCGGGTATGAAAGCAATTTGTCTAACTGAAAGATCAGGAATTAGCCGGGAGTTTCAATTGATTGTCTAACATCGGCAAACATGGAAATGACAGACAGTATCAAATAACCAGCACAGATTATATCTGTCCGCAGACAAAGGCCAGGCTGTTGGATGGCGCACCTGACCGCTCGCTGAAACCCGGGCCATCCCCTGCCTTAGTTCCTCAATTAACTCCTTCCTGCTATTTCCACGTCCAGCGTGTATTAGTTCACTGCGATGCTCGGCCATGACAAGTAAATTGCTGTTTGGTTATGACCGTTTGTCGGGAAACAGGCCATTTCCCCCCGCTTTGCCTAAACCGCTGTTCCTAGCTCTGCTGAGGGAGAGAGTAAGAAAGAGAGATGGGGGGAGGGATGGTGCTGGGGTTTGAGTTTGAGCTGAAGGCAGGAATTATCACATCAGTGGCTGAACGGGCGTGCCCTCTTTGCTAGGGACAAAAAAACACAGCATTATGTTGGCCCACAGTAGTGAGAGGTTTTCATTCGGCACCCACTCCCTGTTCCTCATGCCACACCAGAATTTCTGACAGCCGTCCACATGACTCCGAAAGTCAGCTCTTCACTCAGCAGTATTGATTTACTGTTGATCCTGGAACGATGCTACAACAATGATGACACGACTGCTTTTAGTCCATTTCAGACTTCAAGGAGCCTTGTCCCAGTCCTGTTTCAGACTGTGGCTAATAAAAGCCCCTACAGAATAACCGTTTCACCTCCATGCGTCCCTGATTAGTCCTATTATTGGTAATAAAGTACAGGAATGGAAACTGGCTGCCTGAATCTTGGCAGCTGTTGTTCTTCCCCTAAAATCACAAAAAGGCCTGATGAGCTCATGTTATTAGTCAGGGGTGGCCAAGTCTGACACTGGGATTCATCTGAGTTCGGAGCTCGAAAAACTCAAAACACGCTTGTGTTCAGTTCCAGTGAATACCTCTAGATTATTGCAACATAATGTCTTTCCCATCACAGGGGGAGATATTCATCTTATCTTATTACAAAGCACTGTCACTCAATAGCACTTGTGTGTTTTTGTATATACTCTATATTCAGATCAGTAAAACAGGAAAACAAGTTTCCTCTTTCACTTCGTGTACACATATATGTGTATGAGAAAATAATGTTTTGAATGCCAGCGTATGATCAGAACAAAAAATATGAAAAATATTTATTTTAATGGGCACTTATGGTCAGTTTAATTAACAGTCATTGTCGTTATATTACATACCTCAGGTAAGGTCCTATTGTTGATGCTCTTTACGGCATGTGAAGAAGTTAAGGCAGCAGAGGTTCTTCTGCACCATAAAAACACTGTGTTTTCTGTCGCAAATAAAAATCTACATCCTGCCTACATTTAGTCCACTGTTGGTGTTTCGGAGAGGAGCTGCTCACAGTCTGCTTCAGGATTGGTTTTTGTGCTGGTGAATCCAACACTCTGTACAAAATAGTTTTTAAATGCAAAAACTCCCCCAGAGTTCTCTATTTGTTGGTCCTTAGAGTCTTGCACAAAGAGACTGAGGCCTCTCCGTCTTGTTGCAATAAGCTTTGGCTTCTCATTCTCAATGGGCCAGAGTCTGCAAGTGCGGTCCAGCTGTCAGAGGCAGTGGTTGGTGGTCGGGTGCCATGGAGACTGGCGCAGCAGACAGTCTGTGGTGTCCTCGGCGAGTTTGGCGTGCCGGGATATAGCTGTGAGTTGGGGGCTCAGGGGGAAGCTGTAGCGGTAAAGACAGTAAGGGCCTGCAGTGTCAGAGAGATGCGGCAGGAGAGAAGGCCCCTGAGGGCTGAGAGGGCTGTGGAGGGGAATGAGACAGGGGGGGCTCCCCGCAGATCCGTGAAGACAGGGGTCCCTGCAGTGGGGAGGTTTCTTTCCCTGCAGGGCCGAGAGGAGCGGGAGGTCTGCGAGCGGAGACAGCGGGGGCAGGCCCCTCAGTCTGTCTGCGCCCAGGGAGGAGAAGGCTCTGCTGGGCAGTGGGGAGGTGCCGCCGGGCAAGGTGATGGAGGTCTTGCCATAGAGGGGGAGAGCAAGGGTGTGGAGAGCAGAATCCTGGCAAGTGAGCGCAGAGACGGAGAACGGGTGAAGGGTCGGAGACGAGGGGAGAGGGAACAGGCTCTTCACGCCGCTGGTCAGCGACCCTGAGCTTCCTGTAGAAGAAGAAATCAGAAACATGAATCACAGATACACAAAAATAAAAAACTGAAAATGTATAAGAGCTGCAGCTCAGCACCTTGGAGCTGTATGGTGAAGGGTTTGAAGTCCAAGCTGAGAGGGCTTCTCCAGGGGTATGACTCCAATAAACCATCCAACACCCCTCTGTAAACACACACACATACAGCATATACTGTAAAAACACTTAAAAATGTTATTCCAGGTTTTTAAATATTAGTTCTGAGAGGTGTGAAATCCTGCACCACGCACTTCAACTTCATTTGAAGGGTTTATGTGGCATCAGGTTTCAGTGGTTGAACCCTAAATCCCTCTTGGGTTCTTTAGTGGAATTCTTTCTGCGCTAAAATAAGTGTGAGGCTGAGTTTTTCTGTACCTGTTCCTTCCTGGATCTCTGAAGCCCTTGGCGAACGGGTTCCTGTCAATCTTCAGTTTTGTGATCTTGCCCATGAGAGAAGAACAGACACAGAGTTATAAGAGTGGAGGTGTCAAACAGTGATGTGTTAAGCTAACAATGAGCTCAGCTTTACTGCAGCGTAGAGAGTGGCAGAGCTCTCCCTCGGGGACTGCATCTCCCAGCAGCACCCAGCAGGGCGATCAGCCATGTCAAACAGGGTTCTTGGAGAAGGGCGTTCGAGGGTTGTACAGTTTTATATGGTGCTTTAATGGGGTTTGGAATTCAGCAGTCGGCCCAGTCGCAGCTCGTTACTGAGTTTCTGTAATAATACGTTCCCTGATCGTAAACGGGGCCCTGATGAAAAGAGCTGGCAGTCCCCATGGATGGCTCTGTTACAGGAGGAATGGCGGCCAACACTGGGGTCAGCTCCCCTGCACGGGAACACACATGCCCACTCTGAACAACTGACCCCGCTGAAAATCAGGACCCTGCAATTTATGATCTGGTTGAGACCACAGGGGAGTGGGCCTCCTCATCTTCACGATGTGGAGATTAAAACATTTTTATGAGAGGTCAAAGGTCCCTGAGCTGTTGACTGGATCATCAGGGTGATGACTCGAGACCATCTGCTTTTTGAATATTTTGGCGACATACAGCATCAATTATTTGTATTTGCATCTACTAAAGTTCAGTTGTTTACAAGAGTAAACTTCTGAACAAATATGTCCTCAGCACACACAGTTTCTTAACCCCAGCATTTTATTATTCTTACAGGATGATCCGGTTTCAGTGAGTGTTTACCTGTTGGTTCTGATAGGCTGTGACCGTGGTGAACTCAGTCTCCGGGAATGAGAAGCTGTGCACCCCTTCAGCAGGCAGCGACTGGATCTGAGACAGGTCCATCCGAGGGTCGTGCCGGATGATGTGCACCCGTGGCTTGTACTTATGCATCGACTGGAGAATAATCTGCATCGGGAGATGAAGATGATATTTAAAATTCTGTCAGGTGGGCCTTTATTATATCAACATCTGAAAGAAGAGATGCAGAGACAAATCTAAAAGGTCTCCAACTAGCAATTGTTTATATCATCAGTGAGTCTGAAGATGGTATTTTTCAATCAATCATTTGATGTATATAAAATCAGATTTCCTCTGTGATGTCTTCCAATTGCTAAACACAGACTAAGATTTTTACTGCATCAAACAAAAAAAGCAAAATCCTGATAGTTGAGAGGCTGAAATCTGAGAATATTTGGCATTTTGCTTAAAAAATTTAATAATAATGTCTTTAACAATATTAATGTGTTGATCAACTAACAAAATGTTTGTCTGTGAATTATGTGTCAATTTCAGAACATTTTAAAGATATAAGGATTGAAAAACTGGGGAAACGCCTGTCATGCAGTTTCTATTGGTATTAAATCTGAAAAGTGATAGGCCTAATACAACATAGCATATAACAAATATAACTATACACGGTGTGACCAGTGAAAACAAAATAATATGCTGTTTAATAACATAACCTCAGCTATTATATTAAACTACAGCAAGAACTAAAATGTGCTATTAAACAATTAAACCAACAAAAGCCACCAAATGCCATTCACATAACAATTTAATAGAAAATAACATGATTTGAAGTTGACATTACTATATAAACTTAACAATCATGTTTGCCTGAGGCGACCATTGACAGCAAAAGAACATAATTAAAAGTAATAATGTGACAATGTATTTAACTAAATAAATAAGAAGAATTAGTAATAAGTAGTTCTGTAATGTGTTATCATTATGCTCATTTGTAAAAATTAACACAATTGTTAATTTATGTATATATATTATAATCTAATGTATAATATGTGTCAGTTTCAAAAAAGTTTCAAAACTCTTCTCTATAATTGTTTAAATCCAAAATGAGTGGACGAAGTCAGTTTCCATGATCTGAACTGACCACAACAGCATTTTGGATTATCAAGCTGTTTTAGCGGAGCAGGTTTCAGCTCCACAGAACAAACACTGTCTCTACATTCCTTCATCGTACACCAGAATTATAAATCCTCCACACACAGTTCACGATCTATATTCAGTGGTGGTTTTATAAACAGGAGGATCAAGTCAAAAGCCTCCTACAGCCTCTCAGTCACCACATCTGTCACATCTGCACATGAGTGAACTTATACAGGAGGTTGTTGAGCAGAGAAGGATTTCCACTTCCCTTTTCCCTGAAAGACATGCAGACTTTCCTTCCTAAAAATTCATCCAGTATACTTTCAGATCTGACAACAATCTGAGCAGGACTGTGTCAGACTCTGGTGCTCCACTATACCATTAAGAGAGAAATTATTTTCCCATCTGAACCCAATGAGATGGTCAGAAATACAATTAACATGTGGAATTTTAAAACTAATTTTAAACAGTGTTTGTTTAACCATGTCTCACCTGTGGGCCAACTATAGCCTATATTTTCTACTGGACAGAAAAGAGTAAGCACCACTGCTCAGATGTGTTACCTACATGTCCCTTATCGTCCATCTCATTGTTGGTGAGTTTGACGCGGTCGAAACTGATGACCTGACGCATCCACGTCTCTCCTGCGCACGGCGAGTCCGGGTGCACGTAGAGCCGTGGAGAGATGCAGGAGTGGTCCGTGTTTCCAGCAACCATCCACTGCGAGCTGTGGTACACATACCTGCAGGGCAATATTCATCTCTGTAAATGCACAGTTATAAGCATACAGAGATATGATAATTTAATATACACACCTGTAGCGTTTGGAGTCTACGGGCATGACGTCCATCGCGATGTAATACTGCTGGCACGGGTCCAGATTGCGCACTTTTACGCGCACTGAGGGAAACATCCTCCTAAAGGGATGAGAGGGAGAAGAGCTGGAGCTTCATTCAAATTATGACGTGTTTTAATTAAGTATATTGTTTTTGCTTTCAAATCTTCTGTTAAATTGGTAGAAGTAAGCTAAACACACTTTTCACGTAACAAACCGAGTCAGAATCTGATCAGGTTCAAACTTGAGGGCAGAAACTTTGCTTCGCGCAGTGGCCAAGTTCAGGGGGAAGTTCAGGGACATCGAGGGGCCATGGGGGCATCTTCGCTGCCGAGATTTATAGCGTGTGTTCGCGGTAATTGAATAAACGGAACCTTGATTTCAACGAGTGGTTATGTCCCAATAACTCATCGCATGGCGAAAAACCACAGAAGAGGTTGCACATGGCTACCTATCAGACCACAAATGAACTCCTTTGAAACTGAAAGATAAAGTTAATTTCATCGAACTAGAATATCTCCCATGCATGTCACAAGATTTCATTATGTAATTAATAGTCCGGGATGGGATAATATAGCTTCAATTTCTTATGGTCCCCGGCCACTGAAAAAATAGAGTTTAATTAAGTTTGACAAAATTGAATAACTTTACTTTAAACAAAGGACATGCATTTGTCTCATAACACATCATGTGCTCTGTTATTTCTGTAAGCCACAACGCACTTTTTAAAATTCCACACTCTCAAGACAAATAGGACACTAAACACAGATATATCAGGTCTCCAAAGTCTGTGTGTTTATGTTCATTTGCTCAGTAAACCAGAGAGTTCAGCCGCTCGCTCACTGCGCTGTCTGCGCCTTCAGAGCCGTTCCACCCCTGATACACAAGCACCTGTGTCCACAAGTAGTAAATATCATATCACATCTCATGACCACCATGTCTACTATTTCATATACGACACACATTAGAGCACATGTAATCATAACGCATGGCAAATAAATGACTTAAACGTCACTGTGGTTTAAGCTGTGGGGCCCTGGGGTGCAGAGTCTGGGGCCTGCTGTTAAATTGATAAATAGGAGGTTAAGAAATGATATATAAAAATGATTATAATTTAACAAATCGTACATATTATCCCCTTAAAAAATATAAGACAATGTCAGTGACAGTTTAAGACATTTAGGATAATTGTCATAAGACTGTATGAGTGGGCCCAGTAATTTTAGTTACACGGTTATTTCTCCTCTCTCCCCCTGGATATAGGGTAAAATAATTTGGAGCAAGAAGAACAACAATAAGAAAAGCAAAGAAACTATAAAGAGGCTTTCTCTAATCTGTGCACATGAGTGTGAACCCAGTTTCTCTTGACCAGACCTTCCAGCTTTAGTGATGATCATCTCGGTGCCGATCTCGTAGAATCTCTTCCACAGCTCTGAGCCCTGCAGCTCGACCCGGACCTCTCTATCCGCCCGGCAGTTGCTCTCCTTCGGCTTGTTCTCCGCTCTATCTGGGCCAGCCTCCTCGGGTCCGGGCCCGGCAGTCTGTCTCTGCGGCTCACAGGAGGTCTCCTCTGGACGTCGCTTAAGCGTTGAACCTGCTTTCTTCGTCTGACTGACCGGACTCTCATTCAGGCCTGGAGTGAACGGTTCAAAGAATGGCATGGGATTGAGAGAAAATGAGAAGAAGTATTTCATGCATTTTGTTCTGTAAAATCACTCATGATTTAATGCAGTTTATTTAACGCTTTGATCCTAATAAGTTGTAGATATTACCCAAATACTGATTTATAAAAAGAAAAAAAAAAGAAACGTTTCAGCAACAACATTAGAAAGCATTTACAAAACCTTCTGTGATTTAATTATATAATTTCGCCTTTTAATTGGTAAATACAAAAATCAGGCAAATTTGAAAATTGATTGACTGCAAATCTGCTAGATCTGTGGTCGTTTGTTTTATTGTTCCATCTTGTGCGTAAAATGAATGGATGTAAAAGCAGCAAGTTCATCTCAAAAATCCGGCACGAGTTTCCATATGTCTCACCGGTGAAGATGCTGGTGTCGTCGCCGGTGTCTGCAGCCGAACTTGAATCGTGTCCCTCCGACAGTTTCCTCCTCTTGCAGGGCTTCCCCACCAGCGCCTCCACCGAGAACGCGTGAGCCCGGGAGCTCAGACCCTGCATCTTGGCGAAAGATCCCCTCGTTCTGCGAACCCTTTTATCCGTCTGAACTTTGACTTCGTCCCGCACTATAGGCTCGGTGCCCCTGCAGCTTATTCAGGGCAGGACGGGACAGCACAAGCAGCAGCAGCAGCAGCACCCAAGGGAGCCCCTCTTCTCCGTGACGCTGCGTAATTGATCCGGTGCGTTCCCATGCGTTCTACAAGACGCACACCTTCATCCAAAATCCTTGATTACTGGCACGCCTCTCCCCCTTCACCACAATATTTCCCTCTCTTCCCCTTTATCCGTTCCTGTGTCTCCCCTTTCCTCTCTGTAGGGTAGAAGGCTTGTTCCTCTGGTTCCCCTCTGCGCGTCACAGAGAGGGAGGGAAAAGCGCAACATGCATTCCTCCACATGGGCCTGCGCTGCAGAAAACAAAACTCCATCCACCAAATTATCGATCCTTACCTCGACCTTAAAATCCGCTTTTCTCGAAACGAATAAGAAAACAGTCCACTACATGTGTTAAAATACTCTCAGGCTAAAGGCATCAAGTTATCTCTCTTTAAACACGGCAGTGTTTAGAAGGACCGCAAATTATTTATCAGTATCAACAGGTGACAGTCGATTCAAGACAGAAGTGAATCGCGTCATTTGAAAGAAAATAAGTTAAATTATCGAATATATTATTCTTCGAGATTTCAATATAAAATATATTTTGCTCGGTCCCAGTGGCTTTTACGCGTGTAGGACAACCAGCACGATCTTTACGCACCATGTGATTAGGTGACCTTCACAAAAGTAGGGTTGTTTTTATTGTAGGTTCGATCCTCTTCATGCAACTGCAACCAATTCCTTCCCAAACGCGTGGAAGTAAATTAATTAATTAATACAAATTCAACGAACTGACTGAATTTGTGTGTTTCAAGCACTTTTTCTCCTAGGCCACTCTTTTGCAGAAACAATCGTCTTGGTTGTTTCCCATGATGCTTCCCCTCCATTTAGACAGCGCATAGATAAATACAATGAACATTGCAGAGCACCAGAGGGGGAATCGAGGCACAAATATTTAAGTCTGTTAATTCAGACCATCTGGAGAAAGTAAAATATCTCCACCAAACTCGCTGCGTTGCTGCTGAAGCTAACATTTCCTATATTAATTTGCAGGCTTTTCCTTAAAGCATACTCTTGTCTCTCCGGCACAGAAGTGGGATTTTTTCTTTTTTCTGTCTCTCTTTCTTTTTGCGGTGCCCACTGAGGGTGTGCGCCAGTCTGGATTTCATAAATGCGGAGATCAGATGGAATTTGGCGCACTTGGAGGGGGGGACTGGGCAGTAATGACAGCTCGGGATTATTACATTACTGCTCGACATGAAATGGATCCGCTTTACACAAATAGAAGTCATCGAAAGGCTCTATTTAAAATGTTTTTTAATCACATGATATAATTGCTGTGAGGAGAAAACAAATGAGGGCTGTGTTTACGGCACGGTTGGTTTGGTCGGTGATGGAAATCTCTGACAACAGCCTGGAAATAGAGAACTATGACCAACCGGAATCACATGTTCTCATGTCATCATAACCTGTTTCAGGACCACGGCCTGGATTTGTGTTTATCCTTCCCTACTTGTCGTTTTCTTTCAGTACTGTAGTAAAGTGCATCCTTTTAAAAGCCCGTCCTTGAGCAGTGGGAGGGAAACGCACCAGAAATAACGGCGCACTGTGCGTCTTCGTGTGGGCCAGCATGGTGCTGTCTCCTGTTGAAATAAAAGACTGAAGAAAGTGATAGAAATAGCCTGCGTATAGTTTCCTCTCGCCACACGTTGGAGATACTATTTTTCCACGTCGCCTCCAGTAGTCAGCTCATAAATCTTCGTCACGGGATTATGGGATGTCAGCCGAGTGATGATGGGCGCGCACTGGCCTCGCCTTTGCTCTGCTGAACACAACAGGAAGCTCCAAATGGTTGTTTTATGATTTTTAATCCGGTATCCAAAAAGAAATATGCGTCTGTTCCATCCAGGAATGTTTGGCACACATGTTTCCTCTTATTACGCACAATACGCACGCTTTGCGGAAGCCAGACTCAAATCCAATTTAACACGGGCCTCAGGTTTCCATTAAGCCGGAAGTTTGATGACCAGCTGCAATTAGGCTTTCCGATCACTGGGCTCCTCCAGGCTCGTGCTTACATGCTGCTGATTTGCGTACCCACGAGCTAATTAATAAGCATTTACGAATAATTGGTTAGCAATTGAAAGTTGGTGGCATAGGCCTTTAAATGCACATCACCATTAACATTAAACTGATTCAAGTCCAACACATTCAGAATCAGGATAACTTTAACTTCCTTTGGTATAAAGGAAAATTCTGCTGTTTATAAAATATGTTTTTTATGACTTAACTTGTTATGTACCTCTATTTCAATATATAACTGTTTACTGTTTATTCTCTGCATAATTTGTTTTTCACTGTATAACACTGTGGGGTGTGTGTGTGTGTGTGTGTGTGTGTGTGTGTGTG